CGCTGATGTATTGACTTAGAGTCCAGGAGTGATATAGCTGGGTGACATAATAACTCTGCTTTTGGTTTTGTGAGGAACCTCCACACAGATTTTCACAGTGGCTGGATCATTTTAGTGTATAAGTCTCATCAGCAGTGTATAAGTTTCCCTTCACCAAACAGCCAGGATTTGTTGTTGTTGTTCTTTTTCTTAATAGTAGCCATTTGATATGGACTCTCAGCATAGTTCTAATTTTGGTTAGACTTAGATTTTTCTGAACATTTGTGTGTACATGTTCATGTTTGTGTGCACATACCCTTATGGAGGCCAGAGGTCCACGTTGGGCTGGTTGTCTTCCTCGTTCATGTCTTCCCCACCTTGTTTTTTTGAGTCAAGGTCTCTCACTGAACCTTCAGCTGCACTGACTGGTAACAAGCCCCAGGGATCCCCTCCACCTCCGCCCCTGTCTCTGCCTTATGCTCTTGCATTATAAGTGCACACTGCTAAGCCAGATTTTTATGAGTGCTAGGGATCTGAGATCTGAATTTAGATCCTCATGCTTGCTTGGAAAAGCACTCTACTGACTGACCCATCTCCCCAGTTCCTAGCCCAGTTATTGATTGGGTTGTTAGGTTTGGGGACATTGAGTTCTAGTTATTTATATATTCTAAATATGACTCTTCTGTCAAAACATACATTAGAGAAAGATAATTCCTTCAACAAGTGATGTTGGAGAAACCAGGTATTTACATGTGAACAGATTCCTATCTTTCTCTGTGTACAAAATAAAAAAATAAAAAAATAAAGTCATTTCAAAACAGATCAAAGACCTTCATTGGGATCTGAAACTGTTAAAGGAAAGCCCAGGGGAAACACTTCAAGGCATAGTTATAGACAAGGACTTTCTGAAAATGACTCCAATAGCTCAGGAAATGGTACAAGAATTGACAAATAGGATTGCATGAAATTAAAAAGCTTCTGCACAGCAAAGGAAATAATCACTGGAGTGAATGCTCATATCTTACAGAAAGGGAAGAAATCCTTAGATACAATTTTTTTTAAAGTGCATTCAGCATGCTATCTGGCTTCCATGATTATAGGCTTTGTTGTGGCTCTACCCTGTGCAGAACAAGGGAGCCAGGGTTCCCATTTTACCCTGGGATGTGCAGACAATGGGCGGAGGGGTGGGGAGCGGACACTGGCATTAAGTGAGACTGGCCGTTTGAGTGTATACAGAGACAATGGCTAAGGGAGGACCCTGTCTCATGAGGGGTAACTGTAGTACCAATGAGTTACTTGTGAGAAGTCTGGAAAGGCTGCGATTTAGTATATGAAGGTCTGTCATGTCAAGAGAAATTAGACTCACTGTGGATCTGAGGGCAGGATAAGCTGCAGGAGCATTTGGATGTTCTAGAAGGTTAAGATTTGGTTTAACATAAGCAAGCCCTGTCTAACAGATCAGTCTGCAAATGGACTAGATTCTCCTGGGTAACCAGCTCCCTTCACTCAAATCCCTTGACACATTCCAGTGGGGACCACATGTTACTGGGTTGAAGATGCATGTCAGGAGTGTGGAAGGAACCATCATAAGGATTTGATTTAGAGGCTTCTGAGCAAATGACTGTGAGGCCCTGAACTTGACATCACAGCTCTGATTACAGTAGTCTGCTGCAGAGCCACAGGAAAATATTCTGCCAGCACTGTGTCTTAGAACAGGGGAGTAGCTCTCAAACCCTCTGGCCTCATATTTGCTATACTCATTGGTGAATGAGAGTCAAGGCTATGGGAGATCTTTGACATTTAGTTGTTGGAGTAGCTGTAAAGGGTTTGTGTTAATTTTGTGTTTTATGCTGTTTGCCAACGTCAGGTATCTTGATCCTGAAGATTCTTGCATCTGGTAAAGGGTGGCTTATGTCTATATAGCTTTTCATCTTTTTTAGAATGATTTTATTTACTTTTATTTTAAGCATATAAATGTTTTGCCTGCACATAAGTAAAAGCACCATGTGTGTGCCTAGTGCCTGTAGAGGCCAGAAGAGTGCATCAGATTCCCTGGATCTAGAGTTAAGGATAGATGTTAGTGTCATGTGGGTACTGGGAACCAAATCCAGGTCCTCTGGGAGAGCTGTAAGTCTCTTAGCTGCTAAGCCATCTCACTAGCCCCACTTTCTGTCTTTTAAATTTTGGGGGCCTGGAGAGATGGCTCAGGGGTTAAGAGCACTGGCTGCTCTTGCAGAGGACCTAGGTTTGGTTCCCAGCACCCACATGGTGGCTAACAATCATCCATAATTCCAGTTCCAGGGGATCTGAAACCCTCTTCTGACCTCTGCAGGCATTGCATGACATGGGTGCACTTACATACACACAGACAATACACTCATGCACATAAAATAAAAAAGAAATAAATAAAATATTTAAAAAATTATTTTGAGGGCTGGAGAAATGGCTCAGATGGCTCTTAATGAAGGACTGGGGTTCATACTCAATGTGCACATGGTGGCTAACAGCTGTTTGAAACTCCAGTTCCAGGGCATCTGATGTCCTTTTCTGACCTCTCTGGGCATTGCACGACATGGGCGCACTTACATACATGCAGCCAGTGCACTCATACATGTAAAATAAAAATAATAAAACATTAAAAAATTATTTTGAATATTGCTTTTGGCATTTTTTTTTTCATTTACGCAGTTTTTAATGACAGTCGTATGTAAGATTCCACTCCTGCATCTTCTCGATAGTTCCTTCCTTGTATTTTCCCTTTTCCTTTCCTACTTGTCAAGATTTGGCTTTCCATTCCAGGATCTTTTAGCTGTCTTTGTCCAACTTTAGCCTGGTGATAACCACCTTGCTGGGGTGAATGCCCACATGGACAGTTGTGCCATGAGCCTTTTCCCGCTGCACCCGCTCACTGTAGATGACATACGTCTTCCTGTAAATCTGGACCACTTTGCCAATCTGCTGACCTTTGTAGTGCCCTCGTACAACCTGGATTTCATCCTTTTGAATGGGCATAAACTGAACACTGTATTCTGCCTCAGCTCTTTGGAAAGGGGGAGGATATAATCTTCCTCCAAATGTGAGAAGGTGCATTGAAATGCCTTTCACGTCGTCTTGCTTCGGTCAGAAGTCACAAAGGGATTGAGCTTCATTTGGTGGCAAAGGGAAGATGCTTTTGGCCTTTTCTAAAAAGCTGAATCATGTACTCTGTCTGAATCTTGCCTGTGTTTAAAAGTTACAGCTTTTCCCTATTTTAATTATGTCTTTATTTTATTTCATTTTATTTTGTTTATGTGTGCTGTGTGTGTGGTATGTGGTGTGTGCGAATGTGCAGGTGAGCATGGAAGGTTTATGTGAAACCTCTGTTCTTTTTTTCCACCTTATTGCCTTTGAGGCAGAGTCTCTCACTGAACCAGGAACTTGCAGTTTCCTCCAGGCTGGCTGGCCAGCTAACGTTTGTGATGCACCAGTGCTGGGCTGACAGGTTCATGTAGCCATGCTTGACTTTTTAAGTGGGTGCCGGTGGTTCCAAGTCAGGTCCTCACACTTGCAGAACAGATGCTCCTGCCTACTGAGCTGTATTTTCCTTCTTTTGGTTTTGAGTCTACGATTGGCCACAAAATACATAGAATATGTGTGTGTGTTTCGGGGGGTGGCCGTTTGATTGTAATGTTACCTCAAACATGTCTGATTCAGGCTTGCCAGCCTCTTGCCCTTCCATGCCTGATCTAGCAGACAGGGCATCTTTGGAGTTCCTCTGACACACAGATTTAGACTCCACATTTTTGTAGCCCCAGCTGTCCTGGAACTCACTAGGTAGACCAAGCTGGCCTTGAACTCACAGAGATCTGCCTGCCTCTGCCTCCCAGTGCTGGGATTAAAGGCGTGCACCACCATGTCAGGCTGAGACTGCACATTTTAACACATTGAACTTCCTCCCCAGGTGGCAGTTTCAGAATCTGGGTAACAGTCCCTCCTTTTTGTTTGTTTTTGAGCACCTGTTAAAAAGTGCCTGGCATTGTGACGGGTTTGTCTCCCAAGCATGGGCCCATTTAATCCTCAGGACAACGCTCTAAAGAGAGGTTATTAAAAGCTAAGAAGGTTTTCACTGGGCCTCCAAAGATGACATGAAGTGACACTTTCTGGAGTCTGTATGTCCTAAACCTGAGAACAGGAAAGCTGAGGCCTGTGTGCTTAGTTAGGGGTTAGAGCCCAGGTGCTCTTCGAGGACTGCAGAGGCAGTGAACACTCTAGCCCATCACTGCAAGAGTGTTCAATGCCCCCATTCACCTGTGTGGCGTGGCTTCTCAGAGCAGTCCTTCAAAATAAACGATCCTTGTTAGAGACCAGTTCTGATGCATTCCGAATCCATTTTCTTGGATTCTCCTTGACGGGACATGAAGTTGATGGTACGAAGTGATCCTTAATGTGTTTTCCTGCCTACATTCCTCTCATCTTCTTGGCTGTTCAAGCCTGCATTTGTCACACTTGGCACCCGACTAAAAATAACAACTTGTACACGTAGTATATTCACAACCTGGAAGCATTTCAAGTTTTCCCAGGATTTGAGGTGCAGTGAATCCTTGGGGGCAGGTGCTGAACATACAATTGCATTTAGCAAAATTCTCATAAGTAAAGCAAAACTTAATTTTTTGTGTTTTTGCCATTTTTAATGTACTTTGCACTTAGATTGGCCTAGATGAGCTCTAAAATAAGGGAACATTCTAAAACCCTACCAGCCCATACTGTCACAAGAGTTTTTATCCTTTTTTTTTTTTTTTTTTTTTTTAAATCAAGGCCACATTGTAATTCTCTGCACAATACCATTTAGTGGTATTTTTATTTCTCTTTAGGTATCATCCTATTTTCTTTTTCTTTACCGCTGACTTCGGCTAACTTCATATGAATGTGTAATATATTAAATACACATGCATTTAAAATACTGTTTTGATTTGTTTGCAAGTTGTTTCTCTTAAAGGGCCTATCTGGGAAAATGAGTAATTTCTCATATCCTGTGCTTGCAGGAAGAATTTTAAATCGTTTCTCCAAAGACATCGGACATATGGATGACTTGCTTCCCCTGACATTTCTAGATTTTATCCAGGTAATGTAACAATAATATCAAGTTCTCAAATACAAAACTGAAGTCCCTATATTTTCATCAAGGCCTGTCCACCGGGGGAAGAGGGTGGCAGTGGGGCTGTTGGATTGGCGATGTGTAATGTTACCTTAATAAAAGGTTGTGTTTGTAGAAGTAAGGTGTGGCTATGATTCGGAGGCTAACTTGGCATGAGTAATTCCTCTGTGTAGGAGTGGCTGTGCATTTGTGTCAGGGTTGCTTCGTGGCAGCTACATGCTGGTAAGTGGCTCTCCGTCTGCCTCCCAGGTATCTGGCGTGGATTCCCTTTACTGTGAACACATTTCATAATATAGAAACAATCACCTCTCACGGAAAGATAGCCCAGATTAACTAAATTATGCATTGTATTGCCACAAAGGGCAAATATTTATTGCACCGTTTTTTCTTTTTTTCCTTTTGGGGGGATAAAACCAGGTGTGGTTACTTACAAAGAAAAGATTAGTAATAATAAGGTGAAAATAATACTTTGTTAACAAGGACAATAGAGAGCAGTTATTGCAGATTCAAAGCTTTAAAGGCAAGCATGTTTAAGC